GATGCCTAACAATCTATGTTGCTTCTGAATAATGTTCTCGAAGCACTGATGTGTTTTCTCTTCCAGTCCCTTCGACCCTCAGACCTCCAATTATACCTTGGGGAAGGGAGCTACACCACTACTGGATTAAATATCCTTCCACCATTCCTATAGGGTGTATTTACTGGGTATATTCATCCGGACAAAATATATATAAAAATGTCTAGATTCTGAGGATAAGGAGATCCAACAATGGCCAAGCGAGAGGGGACAACAGCGCAATGTTTCGAGAAGCGCTTCAAACATTCGCAGAGCATACCAAAATTACTGGCGTCAGTCCCAGTATTGGGATGCTTTAGAACAAGCCATACATGCGACTCAGGATTGCGGAAATTTTCATTGGCCCCAGGGTCCATGTGCGACAAGCTTTAATGATCTTCCGGTCACAGACTTTTGAGATCCCGTGTTAATTCGACCATTCGGCTCCTTTGCTGCACTGGCTGTGTTATGAGGATTTCGTACTTTCTAATTCCCATGCCTTCATTATTGTCCTAACCTGGTCACATTCCGCTATGAATGACGTGTCGTTTTAAGGCTCCCCGTATAAACTGCCTCGTGTGAGAAATATTTGAAATATACAAGCCTAAGAGGTGAAATATAGCCATTCCTATTGTATGTGCCATTGATTTGCATTTTCCAAATATGTCCAAAAATCATTCAGGTCGCATAATTGGATAGAGCACAAGGTTCTGTAGGTAAATTCCTAGTAATGTTGAATAGTAACGGCAAGATGGCCGAGCGGTCTAAGGCGCACGGTTCAGGTTAACCTGTCCATCAGAACTTCCTCTAGAAGTTTCCGTGTCATGAAAATGGCGTGGGTTCGAATCCCACTCTTGTCATATTTTTTCTTACCAAATTTTTAATTTCCTAGATTATCTATCTATCTATCCACTTGATACATAAGTGGTCCAACAATTACAGGGATCTGCGTCAGTCAGACCATACATACTTACGATTTCTTTGAGAAAATTATTGTGTTATACTCCTTTGTAAGGTTTCATATCACTTGGATCGGCCCAATGCTCCCTCCTACTGAGTAGACAGACTTAAATATAATATATTGTTATTGTCTTCGGTGGATGAAATGGGACAGAGGATAGACGGCTTGTTTTCCAGGTCCTGCACATTATTATATTTAATTATCTATCTATTAAGTTACACATCTTCGAGTGTCTAATATCTTCAATTATATTTGCGTTATCGAGGAAGATCGTATAGCCTGGAATCTTCGATCCTAGAAGGGTAAGCGTTGTATTATCAGTAACAAAGCACAGTATGAATAGCAAGGCGGCTTCCTCCCGGTAGAGCTGCGCGATGGTATTTTCAGACTCAACAGTGTGTTTCTTGTACACAGAGATATTGTGTGTACCATCTGAACCAGCTCCATATCTATCCAATATCTTATGCATAACTTCCAAAAAGCGCGGATGGCGTCCCATGCCTAGATAGTCGTTGGAATACTACACAGTAATGAGATTTCCTAGAATTTCCTATATAAGCTTGTGAGAAATAGATGGCAAGGCGATTGATATTTTTTTTTTTTTTTAAATACGGTATCAGCCGTAGCTTTCCTTCTTGTTCGCTTCTCTTGGAAGTATCTGTAGTAGTTGGAGTTATTCACAAGGGTCCCCTTCTTCCTTTTTTTTCTTTCTTTCTTTTTTTTTTTTTTTTAAAGAACACTCTTACGTATGAAGTCTACAATACGACACATAGGGTCAGAAACTGAATTAAACATCTAAGGGACTCATTGCTAAGTATAGCACAATGGTTATTATATACTTTGAACATTCTGATATATAACTGCCTCAGCAGTAGCCCCGATATTATATGAGCTATACAAGCATTTTCCGAGACCTGAGATAAACCCTATAGAAGTAAATACTGATATACAGTAGTAAGCTATCATATCAGTATGTGCAGGAAGTCAACATTGTTTCCGATCACGGATTGACGGTATATAAAGGTAGTGGATTTTGGACCCAAAAAATACAACAGTTTACTATATAAACAAAGATACCAGAAACAAAATAAATTGGTTGGACTTGTACTATCAGGCGTGTAATGAGTAAAACTTTTGGCAAGGCTAATCCTGCTTAGAACATACATAGCTTATTTACCCATGTATTTACTTGGATTACTCCAAGTGCCAGTGGGCTACGGGATGTATAGGACTAGGAAGTTATGCGCAACAATATCTCGACTTAGTCTATATATTACCCAATGCTTTATTCCGCACAACGATCACATACCGTCGTAGTCTTAACCATAAAATATGTCGACTAGGGATCGGGCGGTGTTTCTATGTTGAGCCTATCATGGTCTAGAAAAGCTATAGGAGGGTATTACTGAGCAAGATCTTATATAATAAACAAAATAATCAGTGGATTGAATATTAATAGCAACAGGTCGAGTCAAATTACAACCAAAGAAGGTTATGAAAATGAGGATTAAATCAGTTCCGTAGAAAGAATAACGCAACAATACCATGCGAGTCTGTGTTAAGATAATGATTTAGTCTTTACCAGCATCCTATATTTGATATCATACTATCTATATAACCCAAGTCAAAGGCCGACTGTATGGTATCTAATCCAAACATAGGCCGAATTTGTATTAGATCCCGGGTGGGCAAAACAAAGGCAGTTTTCTTATATATCCTAAAGTTTCCCATTCCTATATAGAAATAGGCAAGGTGGCCGAGCGGTCTAAGGCGCACGGTTCAGGTAAACCTGTCCATCAGAGCTTCATCCAGAAGTTTCCGTGTCATGAAAATGGCGTGGGTTCGAATCCCACCCTTGTCATCCTATTTTTCAGCAGTTTCATTTTTGTTTTTTAACAAAACTGCAAAGCAACGCCTCCATCCCCCAAGTGGACGGGCTCCGGTCTCAAATCCTAGCCAGGGTCCAAGAACCAAGAAAGAACATGACGAAGACAACTATATAAGAAAGTGAACTCAAATTCCTTAGACCTTCTCCAATCATATCAGATATATCCTCAATACAATATGACACTCAACTACGGACAAGAAGCCTATGGCGACTGAGTTCACACATGAAAATATTCAAACACGTCCACTGTACAGAGATAGGTACACAATCACAGGTGTTTCTTTTATTCGTCGAACAACCATTCTGGACTACATCTGTCACAGATTCGGTGACAACTCTGCATGGTGACTGTACTGTACTGTATACCCTGCCCGTTGTGCATAGACAACTCGGTGGCCGAGCAGCGACGTCGGAGTCTATATCTGTTGCGTTTTCAATGGCGTATAGTAGCCTTCTGTTAGTCTAATTCTGTTAGGAAAGAAAGGGGGTACCTTTCGGCTATGAAGTTAGCCTGATATTGATAATGGAGGAAAAGCAAGAATCAGTCTTCTGTCTATACAGTATCTACTGCTTAGCTTTCTCCCTACGTACCCTTACCTAGTTGACAGGTCTTCTACCCTGAATAGTAGATAGTTCTTTGACAACATCAAAATTATATATATACAACTACGGGTCTCTATATATAGAGTGGGAGAGAGTGTGTGGCCTTGAAAAATATGGACAGCATCGGCAAGGCTTGCTACGTATGTTATATCTTATTAATATCAGGCCTTTCCACACAAAGGTAGTGTGTCAGCTCGACCTGATTTCAACTCTCCGGTTGGCTGTCGGTGTATACGATGCAGTTAGCCAACTCAAGTTTGCGTTTATAAAGATGGTGGCTGCTAGGTAGTTAGTTGTCCATGTCAAAAACAACTCAAAAGGACGGTTAGATCAAGAGCAAAAAAGAGTTGACAAGGGTGGGATTCGAACCCACGCCATTTTCATGACACGGAAACTTCTAGAGGAAGTTCTGATGGACAGGTTAACCTGAACCGTGCGCCTTAGACCGCTCGGCCACCTTGCCTATTGATAATGTTGATTGTTACTATTTTAAATGATGAAAGGAACTGATAACCATACACAGCTCCGTTCCCATGTATCAGTGGCGGTTCCGAACACCCACCGCCACTGATATATCTGTTTAAGAACAGAACTGTACTTCAAAAGTCATTAAATCCGTTGATAATTCCCAACGTACTATGCACTACTCCATACTGTGTATATGTAAATGATAATATACAGGGTAGGAGGGCCTGCCAACTAGGTAAGGACATATGGCCCCACGGGAAATAAGACGATCAAGCGTCCATAGCAATTGTAAATACTGTTGAGACAGGAGACCAATTCTTGACCTTATAGTACTCCTCAAAAATTCAAAACTTATATCTGAAGGCTCTGCACCGAATGGATATGGAATCATTATTAAAATGTTGACCATTATATCACCTAAGTTTCCACCTCCGTCGACGGTAACTACTAATCGATATATGTACATACAAGACATGAAGCAGGAAGTATCTTGTAACAGAGAATCTACTATATAGGGTAGATAGTCCGCCAAACAGATAAGGAGGCAAGGATATATACACAGGCAAGGAAGGGAAAAAGCGTTTATTATTCGAAGAGCAGAACAAAACACAATGGAACTGACCCTCCTCTCTTTCCTCCTGCTCGAATTGGCCTTTAAATGACTTGGTTCCTTCTCCCCTTATCCGGTAGGGATACAGGAACAGAATTATAACTGATCAGTCAGGCCGCAGGCGACCTCTCGCCAGGTCTGTCCAATGCTGCAAGAGGGACTGGGTTTCTTACAGCTGCTAGACTGGTTCGATATCGGCTCTACAACATCTGTGCTTGGGGAAGGTATGATGTGTCGTCATCAGGCCGAATCACTGACTAATGCTAGCTTGGCTTCGCTCCGCTGCGCAATAAAAGAGACGTGAGACCATGTGATATTCATCAGATAATCTATGCACAGTATATTTTACTCCACAACGCGAGCATCAACATACAGCGTCTACACATGGGCTTATGTTTCTCTGACTGAAACCTCTCCTAGCAGACAGAGGAGAAGAAAGCTTGCAAAAAAACTGACAAGGGTGGGATTCGAACCCACGCCATTTTCATGACACGGAAACTTCTGGATGAAGCTCTGATGGACAGGTTAACCTGAACCGTGCGCCTTAGACCGCTCGGCCACCTTGCCTATGCTTGAGAGTTGGAATACAATTTAGCAAATAGAGAGAATAACACCTTTATATCATATCGAAGTGTACACTAAGGTTACGCAGTTACCTCAATAATGCTTGCCTAAGACGCATTAACACGTCACAGGGACTCCACAGAGAAACAGTACTGGACCGAGTCAGCATCCATACCGCAACAGTTACCGAGGTGCATTACCTCCTGATTGGCTTGCCTGGTATAGGAGGTTCCTTCGACCTTGCAAATTCTCGTGGCCACCGTCCTGATAGTCTGCAACTTCTCCCTCATCATCGGACAGACATGGATCAGACACGATCGACTCGCACAAGACGTTCAACCAAAAGAGCTCGGACCGGATGTCGGACCTGCCGGTAAATGTTCCAGAGAGATCACTTCCCTCTTCAACCAGCAAACCACTAAACTGCGTCGCAGAATTCGCAGAGTGAAATGTGACGAAACACCAGGAGCATGTAGGAACTGTACGTCCAGCGGTCGAACCTGCGAGGGATATGACATGTATCGCCTGCCGATAGCACGCAAGAGCAGCAGCCTTCTCCGCCCTTTAAGCAAAGGACTGCAGTGATGACTTCAGACGACCGGCGATGTTATTCCTACTTTCAATTCCACGTAGCCCCCGAGATCGCCTCGTTTACGTCGCTTCTCTGGCGGAAGTTAGTGCTCCAGATGACCGAGGCAGAGCCGGCGGTTCTCCATGCGGTCATTGGGTTGAGTGCGATCAGTCAGAGTGTTTCGGCAGCCTGCAAGGCCCAGAAGCATGCAATTAGCCTGAAGTACGATCCGTGGCGTCAGTTTGGCCTGGAGCAGTTGGGACGGTCCTTTGCATTATTGAGCCGTCGACATTCCTCCCACGATCCCCAGCTGGTCCAGGTTACCTTGCTGTGCTGCCTTATCTTTATCGTCTGCGACCTACTGCAACACCAATATAACCATGCCTTTAACCATCTACAGAACGGCATCCAGGTCTTGAGCGAACTGAGGTATGGTCGAGCACTTATATCGCAAGTCTCGGTTGAGCAGGAACTAGTGGCAGTCTTCACAGCAACTCGAGAACCCAAAGCACCCCATTCCGCGGCCAACAGCCAGTCCTCTGGTTGCCCAAGGAGAAGAGTGCAACCCATCCATCGAGCAAGCGTTCCAGCCAGGGCCTCCAGTTGACCTTTGAGTCGTTAAGGAGTTCCGTCTTTGAACTTACAACTGACTTGGTCTTCTTACCAGAAGGGCAATCGGCCGCACAATACGAAGCAGAATATTTCACACTTCTCGAGCGCGGGAATCAATTTAACAAGGAGGTCGACTCCCACTACGCACGCGTCTACCCCCAACTCAGTCAGGAAGAGAGGAAACGTGCAGACTTGGTGAGAATCCATACGTCCGGTGAAGGTCTTGTTCTGAAATGCTGCTTTCCAACCGGTACGCTTGAGACGCATGCAGAGCATTTCCGGTCCCATCTTTCTCTGATCGAGACGTTTATGCACAGGTTTCCCGAGCGCCCGGGGTTCACTATGGATGAGGCTGTACTTACCGGTATCGTTCTTGTGGCATTTGGGGCTCCGGATCTTGATGTTCGATGGAGAGCCATCGATGTGCTACTGGCGTGGCCACACCTTGAATGGCCGTGGGACTCTAGGGCTATTGCACGAAGGGCTATCGAAAACACGCCGGAATATGTGCCGGGCTGTGTTGAGATGGGGACTGTCAGGGTGAGAAAACCGATACCGCAGAAGAGGTTCACGATGATACTTCAGAAGTTCTTTCAAGAGATAGGTGGTGTGAAATCGTAGATGTATAACTTTTGTGGTTCTCGGGATCCTGGCGCATATATGTTGTATTATTCTAGATTCAAAGCTAGGTATGGGCTGTCAATGTGTTCATGAGTATTTGGTAAGTGTAGTATCGTGTATTGGCTTTTGTTAAATTAGGTCTGATTGGGAAAGAATTGAGTTAATGGTGAAGAAGGTATTGGAGGAGCAACTTATAATTTGCAGATTGCAACCTTGTTTTATGTATCTTGATATACTCAATCTAGAAAAAGCCATTCAAGCTTCAAAACCCCCGATGGTCTAGTTGGATATGGCGTTCGGCTGTAATGGAATATTCACATATAACCGAAAGGTCGCCGGCTCGATTCCGGCTCGGGGGAGAAGCCACTCTTTTTTTTGTGGCTATCTTTGCCGTCCTGATGGCGTAGAGGTAGAGAGAAATAGATTGCAAGGCCTTTCCTATTATTTCTACTTTGTACAGATAGATACTCACAATAGTTGTTGTACGTTCCTTTTCACGACCAAGGTAGTTGTAATACTCTATCTATCTGCACCGATGACACCACGGTAGATAATGAGAACACAGTGCTTAACAAGCCGTATTCGAGAGTAACATGTCGACTATGGAAAGGTGCCTCAGTTCATAGATTTTTGACTTCTTGACTATCCTATCTAAGGCTAGCCTTTTCCCTCAACGACTCGGCGTTGTGGGCAGGGACCCTTCCGGGCCACGTAGGGCCGCCAGACGGAATCCCCCTCCCAACCATAATATGTATTGACCTTGTTCCAGCTTAATGGGCACATAATGGTCAGATGGGATTAAAACGCGGCCAAGGCTATTACTATTATCCCTGTGCATCTGGACAGCGTGTTGTGATATAGTAGTCTGGCACCGATACTATAGAATACAGATCCCTCTCTGCCATCCCATGATTCATGAAGAGCACCTTGACAGCACAGCAACTGCTAGTAATGGAAAACCATGGTGAAGATCATTCAGCCGTACTGCCTATGCCGAAAGAGGTGGGTCAAGTACTGTGGTAGGCCGTCCTATTATATCGAAGGAAAACGGTCTATAAACCGCCGATCGATATGCGTTCAGCTGAACCACTTGACTATGGACTAAGCAAGCGGGGTTGGAATCTACCTATTTATTGTATGTGTCCTACGACCATCGCTACTCTCCTTTTCTCAAGTTTACTTTGCACCACCACCAGAGCCCAAGTCTTTTTGTCAACTAGTTTGTCCCTCTGCCAAGGTTACTAAGCTATTCTAACTCCCTTGCACCTCATCTGCCGTACTAATGAATCCCCTAGATGTCTTCTGTCCCCGGTCACATACGTAACTCCCCTGAGAGGCTGCTTATTGTTTGCGTCGTCGACGGCCAGCAATATACTTTCGTATCGACCGTTCAACCCCCCCTTCCACCTTTTGAGGCTGGAGAAATACAAATCAACTATGATGATCCTTCCCAACTGGCTTCAACGAAACGTTTCCACGGCACGGTCACGAACGGCCAATTGACGCTGATAATCGACGATGGGGTTACTATTACTGCAGTGATCAATCCTCCTCATGATATTGGTCATATTACCGGGGCTGGCGTTTGGAATGTCAACTAGTATTCGAGTATTATCGTATTATCCCAGGAAAGACAGACTGACATATGATATGATATGATATATGTGTGTGTGTGTGTGTGTCCTTCGTCGCGAACGGAATCTTAGCTATGACCGACCTATACAGTTCACGTTAATAGAACGGTAGTTGAATTTCATACGTAGTTGTCGTCGGCTAAGGCAAATTCTTGCTAGCCACCTCAGTATGTCAGACATCCTATTATATTTTGTACACAGCTGGCCACACTTTGTAGAAGGAAACACTATACCCCATAGGGATCAGCACAGTCTGATGAGATCTCGCGTCAGCCGACCTTACCATCGCCTAACTTCCCCCCTCGCCCCGGGCCCGACAGTTCTAGTTAGATATAGTACTTGGCTGGAATCGAAACTTCTATGTGACCGTGTTCAGTTGACTTCGGGGTCGCTCGAAATGCTTCAACGTGAACTTACCATACATCGATAGACATCTCGCCGGCAAACATCTGGATGGACATTGAAGACGACACAATTCTCAAAGATGTCGAGCAACAGCAGACTGAGGATCCTAGTACTCCAATCACCACTACTAGAAGGTAAGAAACCCTCTTCGATCCAGTGGATCGTGTCCATGGCCAGTATGCCCTCCCCTTCGCTTTGGCTCAATATATCGGCTATTTCGGTCCTCGTCCTTTGGAGATCGTACAGATGACTCTACTTTTTCCAGACAGACTTTGATTCACGACGATAGACGTGATACCCGATGAATGGCTTACGCGGCCGTTCGAGAGCTTCATGTAATGAAGATTGGATTCCCAGGCAAAGTAGTTACTACGTACCCCACTAACTGTGCTAACCCCAGTTAGTAGCCACTATCACCTATATTTAGAATAGATTCTGACTTCCCACGCTTCTAAATTCCATAGAATTTCGTTCGTTTCAGATTTAGAATTGTGGATTTAGCTCCTCTCATCGTGATCCTTTCCGTACAGCTACAATAGTAGGATAGATTAGATTACCTTGCCCTAACCTTCATTTTCCGTCTCCGTCTCCGCATCTCGTAAACAAGATGACTCACATGCATATCAACTTCAAACTATATAAGTATATTCACCCAGGCTCTGGACCGTCTTTAGAATCAAACATCCCCACCATCTCTTGCTTTAACCAACTCCCTCCAAAAACCCCCAACGAAAATGACTACTCCCTTCGGAGCCCAGATGCGAGAGCACTTCCTCTTCGACACCAACTTCAAAAACCTCAACCATGGTAGTAGATATAAACCCCCAGTAAACAAAGTACTACCAGCACCAATTACTAACTATAATCCAGGCTCCTTCGGCACATACCCACGTGCCGTCCAGACAGCTCTCCACCAACACCAACACTCCGCCGAGGCCCGTCCAGATCTCTTCTACCGCATCACCCGCGCCCAAGGCATCGACGAATCGCGCCGCATCGTAGCCAACCTACTCAACATCCCCGTCAATGAATGCGTCTTCGTCAAGAACGCAACCACAGGTGTCGGCACTGTGCTCCGCAATCTGGTCTTCCAGAAGGGAGACGCAGTCGTGTACTTCGACACTATCTATGGCGCTGTTGAGAAGGGTTTATACTCCGTCATGGAGGCGAGTCCTGTAACCACCCGTAAGGTTGAGTATCAGTTGCCCATTAGCCATGAGGACCTGGTGAGTCGGTTCCGGGATGTGGTGAGCCGTGCGCGAGCCGAAGGGCTGAATGTGAGGGTTGCGGTGTTTGATACTATCGTTAGTAACCCTGGTGTGAGATTTCCATTTGAGAAATTGGTGGAGGTTTGTCGGGATGAGGGTATACTCAGTCTTGTGGATGGGGCGCATGGTATTGGCCATATCCCGTTGGATTTGGGGTCCTTGAGACCTGATTTCTTTACTAGTAACCTGCATAAGTATGTTCTCCTTTCTTTCTTTCTTTCTTTCTTTCGTTTGATTGTTTACTGGGGTTTGTTCTGGGATGCTAACTAAGAGAAAAAAGGTGGCTATTCGTCCCCCGCGGCTGCGCAGTTCTCCATGTCCCGCTGCGCAATCAACATCTCATCCGCACCACCTATCCGACTTCTTGGGGATATATCCCCCCTCCTTCGTCTGGGGAGATAACCCCCACCGTTACGCAGGGTAAGTCCGCCTTCGAATATCTCTTCGAATACGTCTCCACAACCGACGACACGCCATGGCTATGTGTCCCCGCGGCCATGAAATTCCGAACTGAAGTCTGCGGCGGCGAAGACCGCATCTACGCCTACTTGGAGACCCTGGCGCGCGAGGCCGGGGATATCGTAGCCCGCGCCCTCGGGACGGAGGTGATGCAGGAGCCCGGGCTGAAGGAGGGAGAGACGAGTCAGCTGAGGAGGTGCGGGTTGGCTACTGTGCGGTTGCCGATTGCCGTATCTTCTGCCACTGCTGCGTCTGGTAATGGTGGGGGTGCTGTTACGAGGGTGCAGGGTGAGGATGGCACTTCGTATTTGCGGATTCAATCGTCCTTGGTGTCCACCGTGAGTACTTGGTTTCGGGATACGTTGTTTGATCGGTACGAGACGTTTGTGCCGGTGTTTCAGCATGGGGGGTGGTTGTGGACGAGACTGAGTGCGCAGATATATTTGGAGAAAGAGGATTTTGAGTGGTTGGGGGGTGTTTTGAAGGAGTGTTGTGATAGGGTTGAGAGGGAGGTTGGGGTTTCTGCGAAGCTGTGATCTATCTATCATATCTTGTTATTTCAGATGTGCTGCGCTACGATTAGATTAGATTAGATGTTGAGATGGTTAGATAAAAGTAGCTCTGATATTACTTTTCCTTCTACTCACATTACCCTATTCTATCCCAAGACATCTACTCCAAAGGTCTATATACTACGTACCGACTTATGTGTACAACACCCACGCCTACACCTACACCTACACAATGCATCTTTAAAACCAAACCTACTCCCTCCTCCAAACCCTCCTTCCATCAAACCACGTTTCCCAAACCTCCGCCTCCAACAACTTCTCCTCCTCCCAAACCATATCAACAACCACAAAATCCGCCTTCTTCCCTACCTCCAACGCCCCCGTAAACCCATCCGCAAAGCAACTATACGCCGATCCCCCCGTAGCAGCCATAACCGCCTCCAACAACCCCAACCTAAAATGCTCATTAACCATCTCCAGGGACTCCGGCTCCCTCGCCGACCGCCGCGTAGTCGCCGTATACAAATTCCTCAACGGCAAATGCGGCGCCGTCGGCGAATCCGTACCAATCGCCAAATTGGCCCCATGGTCCAAAAACTCCCGGTACGCAAACGCCCGACCACACCTTTCCGCCCCAAGCAACCGCGGCCACGCCCGCAAGATAGCCGGATCGGCATGCACGGGCTGCACGGAGGCCGTGATGCCCAGGGCACCGAGTCTCTTTGCGTCCTCGGGCGCAGTGAGCTCGAGATGTTCAATGCGATGCCGGGATCCGGGCGTCGCCTCGCTTTCCAATGCGTCGATGGCAAGCTTCACCGTCGCGTCACCGATAGCGTGTAATGCGCATTGCAGACCAGCGCGGTCTGCCTTCCGGACTACCTTCTTGAGGATATCTGCATCCCACAGCGGGGCGCAGTTATCCCCGTTCGAAGCGTAGGGTTCTGTCAATGCAGCCGTGCACGCATCCACAACACCATCGCAAATAATCTTGATACCGGCGATTCGCAAATCGGGACTCGTGGTCACATTGTACATTTTATGTAATTCAATCGCCCGATCAACCTGCTTCAATACTTCTTCGTCATCATCCTTCGGTGAAATAATCCAATGCGCCGCAACCCGCACATTCACTTCCTCCCGTTCCCGAAGCGCAAGAACCGTCTCCCACAGATTCTCATCCGTTGCCATCTCCACCATCCCCGTATACCCGGCCTTCGTATACTCTCTGACCGCCGCGCGAATAAACCCCAGTTTCTCTTCGAGAGTGGCCACTTTCGCGACGTGCGGCCAGACGATGTTGACTGCTGCTGCTTCGCTGAGCAGGCCTGTGGGTTTTCCGGTCTCGTCGCGGTGGATGATTCCGCCGGCCGGGTCGGGGGTGTTGGAGACGTTGAGTTCGGTCAGGGCGGCGGTGTTGCACCATGCGGAGTGGAGATCTTTGGAGTCGATGAAGATTGGCCGCGGGTCGAGGTCATCCAGCATGGAGGCTAGGGCTTCGCCGTTGGTCATGGAGTGCATCCAGCCGCGGCAGAAGAGCCGGGGGGTTGTCGGGTTGGCGATTGCTGCTGCTTTGATGGTGGCGCGGATGTCCGATAGGGAGGTGCAGTTTCCGAGGTTGATTTTGGAGAGGCTGGCGCCGAAGAGAAGGAGGTGCATGTGTCTGTTTTTTTTTTCTCTTCTTTAGTCTCTAGTGTCTGGTAAATGGTATGTGTGGTGTGGTGTGGTGTGGTATGTGTATGGATAGTTTTGGGGGCGGTGGAATTTGAGGGTGGTGTATGAGGGGGGAATTGAGGTGTTTTTATATAGTATATATGTACGTACCCATCAATGAAGCCGGGGAGGACCTTACGACCTCCCAGATCATAGATCTCGCTCTCTGGGTAGAGAGTCCTTGCGGTGGATTCCTCGCCGAGGTAGATTATACAGTCGTTTTCCGTGACCATGCATGTTGGGTTGGAGGATTGCGGGGTGATGAGGTGGGCGTTTTTATAGAGGGTTTTCATGGTGAGAGATTAAGTTGTTTTATTGACTATTGTATAGGAATTGACCAGGAGGAAGAAGAGAAGAGAAAGACCGAGAGACAAGTTGTATGAGGGGTAAAGACGTTATATCGATAAGTCTAATCTATGGTAGGGCGCGATTTAGGGCGCATGGCATGTGGGGTATCAATCAAATCAATGTGGAGATAAATAAATGATTAAAATATGATCTGATAAATGAATTATCCATCCCACAATCGACTTATCTATGCCTCCTCCGGCCAGAAAACCAAAAAAAAAAAAAAAAAAAAAATAAACGCTTCATTACTGCGTAACACTGCCAGAGTGACTCTTGTATGTCCATTTCATCCATTGCCCAATTTACCGTGGATCCCAGCTCTATATCACTTTCCCGTAGCTGGACCAAAGACCTGCCATGACCGTAGCAAAGCAGAGAACATGAAAGGTGTCGCGCATCGTGAAAGATGGAGGCAACGCCTACTGGTTGCCTCCTCCGAAATGGCTTCGAACCCAGCCGGCGAAGCCTCCACCTTGATTGTCATTCCGACTGGATCGTTCTTGATCCTGTTCTTGTCCTCCCATCTCTGACCCAGTCCTGTACCACTGTGGCGGCGACTGTCCGCTATGCTCGGGAGCAGCGCCACTCGGACGACGGGGTGACGTCTCCGGACTACTGTTGATGACGACCGGGTTATCGCTAGTTCCTTCGGGTCTAGAGGGCCCAATTAGTGACTGAAGCAGACACTAGCGTTATCGAAAACTTACTCTGCCGGAATATTGATGCCTCGCCGGCAGTGAGGACACGTATTGTGCTGGCTCAGCCACATCTCGATGCAGTTGTAGTGGAACCAGTGCTTGCAGGGTAGTACCGTGACTTCCGTGCCTAATTCCACCGGGTCCATGCATATCGAACATTCTGCCTTGCCTTCGCTACCTAGCATCTCCTGATCAACTTTCTTCTTCGGCAGAGACTGGATCGCATTGGGAGCAGCGGGTGGTGGCGCTGTCCCCCGTGCGTTTTGATCAATCAACTGTGATATTACCCGGTCTAGCTCTTCTTGTGAGTAGACCGCATCACCATGCCGGTCAAGGTTGAGTAGAGTCGACAAAATCGCAAGGGGATTCGGTCCGGTCATGACACGGACTCCGGGACCATTTCCTGTGGGACCATTGTTTCCGAAATCGGCTCGGAACAGCTCAAGAATACTATACAAGTCAGCAACCTTTCCTAGCTCGCTGCATCCAAGGGAGAGAACATACTCGCCCAGAGTTCGTAGAGGAGTACCCATAGGCTGTGGACCATCTGCGTCACGAGGATGCAGTCCCCCTGTCGTATTAAACTCGGACCCCATGTTCCCATTACTCCGCGCGTTCATGTCAATATCAAACGATGTGCTGTATACCCTCGAACCATTTGGGCCGAACCCTTGGCTCTGTCTGTCGCTCCTCCGTATTCCCGGTGACGAATCTCGCTCATTCGGTTGCCTGTACTCCGTCTGCCGGTAGGTGTCGGCCAACCCATGAAAGATACTGTCCAAGCCGCGCACCATAGGCATAAGAGGATCCCCCGGCATTTGCTGACCGGACGAACCACGGCGTGTGTAAGTAGTGCTAGAAAAAGTAAACCGGCCATCCGGAGATCTGTACGTGCGGTGACGGAATCCATTGTCTGAGCCCCAATCAGGGGTGTCTCTATTCAAATCGTCATGATCCCAAGGGTTGTGGTCTGCCCATGGGTTTCTTGGGGGAGCTGGCCGGTCCTCGGGAACGGATGTTGGAGGGTCGGGGACGTCCTCTTCCGTATCTGGCGGAATTTCGATCTGGCCCGTCAGTATTGGTGGCCCAATCCACTGTCGTATAGCATGAAAAGAGGGATTAGAAAGGATGACACACAATTTCGGTGAATTCAGAGTGACAGTGTGGGCATTCCAGCCCATAATCTCTGCGTAGCCATACCCCGCCACAGGCATGACAAAACATGCGATCCCCCACATCCGCCATGATGGATGTGTGTAGGTGGAGAGGTAGTTTGTCGTGGTGAAAATCAGGAGGTGAAACGGTGTTCAACACAACGATGTTCAGATATAGTATCACTAGGCAGACGGAATCGAAAGATTGTACAAGAATGTCAACCGTTGGACAATTGTACTTTGTACTAGTAGTAGTAGTAGTCGAAGAGTCGCAATGCTTTTGAGTCGAACTGCAACGTCACTCATTGTTTCGGGGCTACCATGCACGTTTTGCAGGCCAGATCAGTTGATCTGTTTGTGGACTAGCGTTTCAAGACTGCATTATAAGGTGAGGCGATGGTTTAGAATCGTGCTGAAGTCGGTGGAGAAAGAAAGAGAATAAATGATTGGGGAAAGTCGGAGTGTCAGGCGGATGACGTTTACCCTTACGGAAAACCAATGAATGAAATCAAGTGACTTGGCCATTTTGTATAGTTTCTGTTTCTTGGAATTTCTTCCCTTCCCTTCCCTTCCCTTCCCTCTCCTTCGATTATCATTATAGAAAATAATAACAAAAACAGCATACGTTGCCGGCCATTCAAAGAATCATGTAATAATCACAAAAACCAGCATGATCATGGACAATACAACGCCATCGCATGCGAAACATCCCACCAACAAAAGAGCAACAACAAAGAGCTACCATATATACACAGTGTAGATTTCCGACTTCCCCAAGGCACAAAGCCGTTCACTAAGAGAAGACACACTATTACCGTCTCTTAGCGCCCCGGAACACCATACCTCCCACCAAACCCGCGGCGAGAGCAAGTCCACCCACGATCGCAAACCCCATCAATCCTTCCTTAGACACTCTCTCATCGATCAGGGTACCGAGGCTGGCGGCCTGAAGGTTGGCGGGCTCCTTTTCAAGCAGAAGATCGTTGTATCGTCGGGCTTCCCCGTAGTTTCCGAGCTTGTAGTTACCGAGGGCTAGATAGTAGAGGCATTCCCGTCGACGTTCGGGAGCAGCGCGGAAGATCTCTGATAGCAGGCGAACTCCTTCCTGTTGGTCCGTTCGGGCGTTGGATTTGATCAGGCCCTAGTTAAGACCGTCAGTTAGTCAACATGGACATACGAGAGTCAAGAGCCAAAGCTAGGACATACCCAGGCAAAGTTGAACTTGGTTTGAATACCGACATAGTCACCTTCCTTTTCGTACTGCGCCCGCAAGACCTGGAGCTCGGCTGGCTTTAGCGGACTGCAATATGTTAGCTGGAATCAACATGAGCAGGGACGTCGACAATATCAGCGACCTTTCAGCATCGGCGGCATCTGCAGAACCACCAGTCAGTCTTGCCGTTCAGGACACCAAAACAATAGCACGGGTAGGGTCAAGAACGTACAGGGCAGGTTGGAACCCATGTTTTCAGATAGACAGCCTTTCACTAACTGCAAAATTAAGCGAAAAATAAGGAAGAGTAAATTCCGAAGCAAACTTCCGTATGTATCGAAGAATGATAGGCATCCAAATCCAAGCGCATGAATCTGACCCTCCGTCACGGGTGGCGGTGCAAGTGGCGCTTAGTGGCTGATCCAATCAGTTGCTCCCCCAACGCCGCATATCAACATTCATCATACCGTCGGTATCAACCCCACGCATATATCGGCCAACAACTGCAAGTCTGTTTGTCGCGGACCAATACCACTCCTAATCTAGTCACAATGTTGCTCGACGAGAATCCAGGCACGGTATGTGCTTCAAAACCATCGGGGAACCTGAATACTGACGCGTCGCAGCTCATCCACCATACCATTGGAAATTTCAACATCCAACCGGACAAACAAGCTGTCACTCGCATCAATGACTCCTTATCGACCCTTCAGCAGTCGCGCGAGCTGCGTATGCGCGAGGCCGAGTCCTCGCTGCGAAAGCTCTCCCGCCACCTTCACTCCTTAAACGCACAGCATGAAGAAGCAGTAGCTGCACATGACTCGAGTAAACACGCGGCGGATATGGTTGAACTGGACACAAAGAAATTCCGCATCGCAAAAGCAGCCACGGAACTTGAAATTGAGAGCGAAAGACTGGAGAGTGAGCTGGAGATGTTGAAGGAACGATTGGCGGATTTGGAGGCTCAGGGGCTGGAAGGAGATGAAGCCACGAGACGGGAGAGGGAGCTGGACGATGCGACAATGTGAGTAATCAGAATGCTGTATAATACTCGCTCATTGCTAACTGACCTAGTCTTCGTCTCAAAATTTACCGCTCCCTTGGCGTTGATATTGAGGCCGACGACGCGGGCAATTTCAACAAAGCCGTCATCCGCAATAGTCGGAAAGGGGACGTGCACGTCGTTAACATCGACCCCAAGTTCTCGCGATTCTTCTACTCCAACTACTTTTGGTCGACCATGCAAGGTTAGCCGAGGGAAGGCTCTGTCATGTAACGGCGTTTACTGGTTGGTGCAGTGTTATGTCTAGGCGTTAGCTGGTGACGATGCTATGATTGCGTTTTATTTGGATATACCCTGGTTTTTGTGCAAATAATATACACTATATACATATTTACCTTTTCGCGGCTCTTCACCGTCGCAGTACCAACGTGTCCCTTGTTTCACGTAGATGTATGCTTCATGCCCGATGCTGCCTCAACTTGAGCAGACTTCTTGCCGTCCAGATACTGCATGACCTTCACCCTATCCACATCAGTCAAGGTACTACAAGACCCTGTTCCAAAAAGCAGAGGCTTCTCTTCCGGAAAAAGCTCCTGAACAGCATCTAGCAGCTCCGACTTGTTCCTCTGTCCTCCATTGAAACCATCACCCCACGACCGCAACCAGCTATCCTCAACTGCACTGACCTGATTCTCTACCTGTTCCATATTGGGAATCTCCTCCCCATCCCAGGTGAGAACAACCCCCTTCGACGAATCCACATCTTCGTCCGCCGAATACCTCACCTCAACACCCAAGTTCACCAAGCCAAGTTGTTCAGCCCTCCCATTCCACAAGACCTGGCGTAATGTCCCGTCACGCTCAATCATCATCCACATCAGCGGATATGAGCTTTTAGCTAGGGCATCTCGAACGCCCTTCGTCGCCTCCCGCGGACTAACCAAGATGCCAACCTCGTCACCTGTCCGCCATCCCACTGGCGACTGGTTAAAGGTCCCTTCCAGCTCGCGGACCAAGTTCGGACCCAGTTTAGTTTTTAGTGATTTACATTGCACGATCACGCGAATGGGATGTTCGCGGCGCGGAAGGTGCCAGGTTCCCACAAGGTCGATGCCTGCATCGTCGCGGCCGCCGACGCGGTGTAGCATGAAGGCGGAGGAACGGAGGGTTCGTTGTACTTTATATTCGTAGTGCGTGCCTATGTAGGCCGTAGTATTAGGGGAGAGAGAAGTCCGCTCTGCGTAGGTGAGGAAGGAGGGGAGGTCATGGTGGTTGGCAGATGGATGTGGTGGAGGAGAGGGGAGCTTGAAGAGACGGCGCGTGAAGGAATGTAGTGGGCGATGACATTGGCGGCAGACAACAGAGGTGAGATTGAGTCGGAAGAAGGAATAGAAGGGACGGTGGAGCTTCATATCAGTTTCCCATGGTATGTTACACGTGTGAAGTATTTAATGTTTGCGTATGCGGGTTGTTCATTAAATTATTGACAATTGGAGAAAGTTGGAGTTGAATCTTAAATTATGCGACAGGAAAAGGAAAGGAAATCTTATCGCCGGCGATCTACAATTTATCGCCGATCAACCTCAGGCAAAGCTACAGAACCTCTTCGATTTAATTGTCACCACCTTAACTGGATATCCAACCTCGCCTTTTCACTTTCTTTCAAGTCCGCTCTACATTCTCCACCATGGCAGACATTTTAACGCAACTCCAAACTTGTCTCGACCAAGTAAGAACCACCCTCCCCCCACAAAAACCATGATTCCACGCCCCATCCACACAATGTGCAAACTAACCATCGTGACAACCAGCTCGCAACCCAATTTTACGCCACAGTAGGCTACCTCGTAACCTATCACGATAATTCACCCGCGATCCCACCCCAAAATGAGCCCACTGCCGCGCCCGCCCTCGCCAAAATCACCAAGAACTCGACCGCGCCGCCCGCCCCCGCCGGCGTGCCTGCTGCCTCCCAAGCATCCCCACAACAACAAGCAGCCCAAATTCCAGGCCAACAGCAGCAAGGAGGCGGTGATGCAGGTCAGACTCCCGGAGCTGGAGGAGGAGGAGCTGGGGGGACGCCCGCCGATCCGAATCTACCGCCTGCGCCAGATTCACCGCGGACGTTTGCGAGCCGGCAGCGCGAGTTGGCGAGGGATCTGGTGATTAAGGAGCAGCAGATTGAGTATCTGATCTCGGTACTTCCCGGAATTGACTCGTCGGAGGCGGAACAAGAGAGGAAGATTAAGGAGTTGGAAAAGGAGCTGAGGAGTGCTGAGGAGGACAGGGAACAGAGAGTTCGGGAGTTGAGGAAGTTGCGAAAGAAGCTGGAGAATGTCTTGGGAGCCGTTGAGGTGGGAATTTATGGAGATCGCGGAGTCGTGGCATCTAGGAGGTGATTGTATAGTTTTCCTACAGTGGAGCGTGTGTTTTATTTGGTCTCCGTCCCGATTTTATAGATATGGAGTTGTCATCCCATAGATGTTTAATGTTACCTACGAAGCATCGGAATAACTAATCGTGAACCACCCCAGAAACTGTTGAGTATAGGTAGGTCTTGAGTAGTACCTGTTTTGTCTCTCATCCACACTGCGGCCATGAGGATCATGATCTGGCTGGGCTTAGCGGAATGGATGTCAGGGATATATGTGAACCAGGTGTGTCCTACAAAAGCTTCAACCTTGAAACGCATCCTCTGCTCATATCTTCCTCAAGCATTTCATCTGTGCCATGATTCGACGAGTTAGTTGATCAAAGGTCCGAGTGAATCAATGCTAGTCAATGGAGGGATTGATTGATTCCTAGCCAATATTATAAGAAACAAAATGGAAACGACGCTGAGTCCCCTCGAGTCCCCGCCTGTGGCAGTGCTTTTAACTAGCATCTAGCACATATCTGTAACCCGACCTTAATTACACCGCATGGCCGACGCAATCATACACAATATCACAACAAACGGTAGCCAGAAAAGATGAAGTGGCAGTCATGCTTCATAATAAGTGGAACATCCTACCAGGCAGTGGAGTGTATACATTGATTACCGGTCGAAGAGACTAGTTTCTATTTTGTTGGCACGCTTATCCCTTCTTTTGCAGGAGGAAATATTGCCTTGCCACACACTTCAAGAGGACAGGTCTGCATATTGGTGATTTCAAGAAAGGACTAGTGTAACCTTCCAATGGGAGACGGTGGCTGTCTTGCAGCGGGTGTGGCAAAAGCTAACCAACATCGACTATCACCCTAATGCAGGGGCTATTGGCACTGGAGACTCACTGCGTAAGGTGTGAACTTGTATTAACTACTTTGCAGTCTCATCCGGATGGACTCTACAAGATCTCCACAGTCTTAGCACGGCCCTTAAGTTTCCGTTCTCAGGGACTTACCTTCGGAACTGACATATCTACTGTGCTGGGGGTCATTCGAATTAATCTCGCCCCTTAAGGACGGGTGTGGCGGCTATGCAGGGAACAATCTTACTCGAGGTTTCATGGGAGCTCGCATTAGAGCCGTGATCTTGCCACCTATGAGATGGTTGGGCAGCGGATGGATTCATATCCTTGTTGCAAGGGTCCTGATAATTATGAAGCCCTGAGGGCCTGAATGACGATGACCTATAGCATGTCTTGGTAAGATGCCTAGAAGATTTTTGAAGGTTTAGCAGTCACTGTGTGATCCGGTTCATTCTCACAATAAAGCTTGCTCATTTGATTTATCCTAACTTACTGCAGTTGCTTTGGATTTATGTCCGGACCCTGTTGGAGATGACTGGCCCCACCATGTCTTTGAAACAAGGTAGCAATGACATGGTGATCTGCAGAATGGTATCCCCCTAGTGACATTCTATTTAAGGCGGCATTATGGCTATGCTAAACTAGGATTGAAGAAGAAAAAGATGACCCCGGTTAATGTAACATAGGGCTATTGTTAGACTTTCGGGGGGTGCTCATTGGCGCAATCGAGCTGCTAGACTCCGCGACTAGAGGCCGCCGGCTATCGCTTGGAGCCCCCAAAGCATCGCAATACGCTGGGTTTCTCGATAAAATATGGAGTTCGTTTTAGCGATGTTAGCAGGTTTGGGGGCCGTCTCCACTATCGTCGGCCTTGTATGGATTTATTCTTAACCATCTCTCCCTCTCTTTTTCGCCTTTCCATCATACTACATACATTATTATCCTTCAATACCATACCAGCTTGAGATCAAACAGTTCCGGAAAAATGAAGCTCTTCTCAGTCTCGGCCGCCTACCTGGCCATCCCCATGGCCCTGCTCGTCTCCGCCCAGACGGAGCCAACAACCCAAGTCGGCTGCTACACCGACAGCGCCAATTTTGAAAACAAGGGCCCATACACGTACCAGAGTCCAGGATATTGCGCCAAGCTCTGCGGCAAGGTGAAGGCACCGTATATGGCTCTGCATGATGGTACCGAATGCTGGTGCGGTACTGCGCTGCCGGACAAGAGCTCTCTCCAGTCGGACGACAAATGCAACAAATCGTGTTCCGGATGGCCCGATGATAGTTGTATGCATTGCACTTGTCAGGAGACATAAAGAGATGCTAACGGACGGCGACTTTAGGTGGTTCTGATAAGGCGTGGTCTGTTTATCAACTTTCCGTCAATGCGAAGGAAGTGACCGAGTCTGCGTCGGCTTCCACCAGCCTTGCAAGCGCTACCCCCGGATCGAACAGCACTGCGTCTGCCACTAAGTCGGGAAGTGCATCCCAGAGTGCCTCTTCGGCGAGCGCTACTCCCACGACTTCTACCTCGGCTGCGACTCGTCGGTTCAAACTTCCTTTTTTCCTGTAATATAGGAGCGCTGGACCAGTTTCTGACGAGGTTCTTTTGCTTGGGGTATTTATTTGAACGGTGGCTGATCAGCCTGGAGCTGCTCAGCCTTGAATCAGCTGTAAAACTAGTATACCACTCCGTTTGAAATTTGTCCAACAATTAAAATACATCACCATCTCAGAGACCATATGCAGGTGATCTTAAAAGACAGAAATTGAAACACTGTACAAACAGCCAAGCATATATCTGACCTTGAACTCTTTAAAACCACAAGTTAGAGGAACACCCACCGCATCTTCATATGGAACCTGCTAGACAGGCTGTGTACTGAAATTTCGTCGTTCAGCCCTGAGCTTTGCAGCTATACCTTATCGTTGCCAGGGAGCTCAGAGCTTGCGATATCCTTCTCAAAGGATAGCAGGTCTCTGGTCGCGCGATCCCAGTTCTCATTGGTACTGTATGCCGAAGAAAGAAGGCCATCAGTCGGGTTTCCACTCCACGCCGCATAGGCTCTAGTTGTCAACGGGCGATAGGATAGAATGGTAAACAATGATCCAGGCAGATAATGTGAATGTTGCGTAAAAGATGGTTAATATGAGTAGATAGGAGGAACAGTGTTGTACAGTTGTGCTGGATTCCTCTAAGACAAGCCGTAAAAAAATTGTATGTCAACGCTAACAGCAAGATAGAAAGAAGAAATAAAGAAGAAAAGAATTACGTCGAGACTACATATGATACAAGCAGCGCTGTATTGTCCCTAGAATATAAGTGCTTGATCGCAAGTTGCTACAGCATTTCATACGGCATACAAATGAGCAAATCTCTATACAAAGCAACATCAGACAAAGGACGCGCCATCTCTTTCATAAATCTCATGGCGACCCCAACGAACGCTCCAGCATTAGTAACACCAATGATGATTAGAAGAACACACAAAGCAATCGCTATAAGTTTCACACAGTGCATGTGTATAACAACGGGGGTGAGAACAAGAGCTCTCATCATTTCTCCGTAGCTGTGCATCATGGCTCTGAAGGGTAACCTCCTGGATCTCTCCGTTATATAGCTCTGAACGCGAGTGCTGCTCGTAGACTCTTCTTGCCGATGTCATCGAAATGTCGAGCTCCTCACACAAGCCATCTGCTGCCACGGCCAGAATTTCCCCATCGTGATCTAGTAGGTAATACCCACCATTTCGATCATCCAAGCTTCCCATTGAGTACGCGGCCGCCATGTCATTGAGCTGTTGGCGCTTCTCCAGGATCAAGGTTCCTGCTGGGACGGGGACAGTGTATCTGGTTAAGGTTGCGAGGGCCGTTGCTACGGTCAGGAGAAAGAGCACAAGGGTTCTAGCAATGTGGGCTAGAATCATTTTTTGGGTCTGTTGGATTGTAAGCTGGTAGCAATTTCATTGCGGGCTGGAGGGGCGGCTTACGTGATTTGCGTCGATGCTAACGAATCCTTTGAATTTATCGCTTTTTATATACCAAGCCTTAAGTGCCAAGATCGTACCGAGTCAAAGTCGAAGTGGCGCTATGAAGGAAAATGGGCAGGTTTACGGTGGATATTAAACGTCTTTCACGAAACCAAGATGACGAGGCTGAGGGTTGCTCGGATGTTTAGAAAACAACCCGCTTATCTATTTTGATAGGAGTTAATATAATTCTAGTCTCCAATCGGGTCACACACGTTATAGGCTAGCCAATAATGCAGGAAGAAACCCTACACTATATAAGCCAAAGAAATTAATCTGACAGCAGTTGATGCTACCCTACATGTTTCCCGAGGCCACAATCTCCCGCACGGGTGTATTTCGTGCAGGTTCGATCCACAACGTAAACTGTAGGATTAGAGCTCGTGCCTCACATACTGACATCGTAGAATAGTGCTTAATTCTATAGACTAAGCTGTTTTTTTGTGCTTATTCTAGACCGTCTACGGTATACAGTTAGGGTTAATCTATAATCCCACTTCTACCCTAGAATGCATGTGTTCTCTGCTGCTTAAACTCACGAAATCCTCAGTATAGGAAGGCACTGCAGATTTCTAATGTTAGATAACTTTAACTTCAGAGAGAGTATACAGTTCAATAAGATGGAAACAACGATAAGGTCAACAATTCTTGTAATTTTATATATACTTCATATATGTAAATAACCCCGCAGCAGTCTGAGCTGCTGGATGTCCTTCAATCACTGACTAATCCGTGACTTAACTCCAATGAAATATATATACCGCGACTTGGAAACCTGGCATTACTGACAATAAATTGCTATTCTTAGAAAATCCTTGCACGACACAGTAAGAATTACATGCTTTCTTCCGCAGCTCCAGTACCTAGCTAATCGTGTCCCCATTGATCTACTTCTCCCTCTCATCCGAAATGACACACCAAGGACAGAAGTGGGTGATCTCAACACTTCGTCAACTAATGAAGTGATAAACTGATCATTCCAGATGTCCATATGTGGTCGGCAATACGATCATATTGCGGTTAGGGGTGCCATGCCACCAACAAGAGGTAACAGCCAAGATTACCCGCGTTTTTGAACCATTCACACTTTCTTCTACAATGGTGGTTCTTTTAGACCACCCAGTTCTGGGATTAAAGGGTCATCTGGTGTTGAAGCTCTTCGACCGACGCTTTGCAGTCCAACTCAGAAAGGATCACAAAGTTAATCCCTGGACGTCGGACATCGAACGGTAATATCATGACTTTGTCCTCGATGGTTGTGCCTCAGAATTTATCATCAAGCTTAATACTGATAGTAAGATGGCTGAGGATGAAGGAGATACATGGAATGACCCCCAAAATGAACCGTATCTCCATGACCATATGCAGGATCTCTACGAGACCGAAGTTGAGCTGTACCAGACCCTAAAAGACATCCAAGGGAAAGATATCCCTCAGCTATTTGCCTGTCTGACAGTGTCTAGCTCCTCTTCATCGCAGGAATTTTCGGTCAATAAGTATATTGATGTCCCAGGGGTTCTTTTGCAGTATATCGACGGTTTTCTATTGACCGATATGGCAGCGCACGCTCCGCGGGAGGTCTGGCAGTCTGTCTGTGATGATGCCATTCAGATTGTTAATCTGATAGGTGATAGAGGAATTCTAAATGGGGATGTCAAAACGAGGAACTTTATTGTGCAGGAGAATCCGGGAAGGAAATTCAAGGTGTTTATGATTGATTTTGCCTTATGCAATTTCCGCAGGGAGTACGGGGATGAAACGGACTGGTGGAAATGGAAAGCATTCCAGGATGAAGAGGGGGCAGTGGGATATGTCATGCAGAAGTATTTGCATAGAGGCTTTGTCTACCGTCGATCTGCTCGATATAAACAACTGGACAGGGAATTCAAGATGGCCGACATGTACTGATTCACGGAATCGCTCGGGTTCATGTAATCTTTTTAAAAGACGCATCCACCTTACTCTTCCCTTCTTGGAGCTTGGTACTGAACATTTGCTCTCCATGATTATCATACTATAGTTCCATAACTCATCTTCTAGACATTTTAACAAGGTTAAAATGGTTGCAGGAGGATAGCCGAGCCTAAGTCATCTTTGCGAGGTTGTATAGCCTGCGGCCCTTATATAAGGTGTCTGTGTAGCTAGACAATTCAGTAATTAGTGTCTAACGGATTAGTAGAATATTGATTGATTATATCTCTTCTTTTTTTCATCCTCCTCCTCCTCCTCCTCCTCATCATAACCAACGGGTCACACCGACAGGACCTTTCACCGTGACCTTTTCTCGGGGAAGAACACCCCTGATCAACTAACTATAAACAGACTCTTAGGTGAGGTTTATCTATTGTATCATGGCAGAATCTTACCTCGGTACTTCCTTTCGATTGAGCCAGATACCGATACCTAAGAGTTGACTAGCATGAGATATGCATCGTTTCAGGCGCTTCTCTAGGTTCGTACGCAGAGATGGTCTCGTTTGATTAGATGGATTCAGCGATCAATATAGTAGTATCCCATTAATTATAATAACAGATGGAGGTAATATCAGAATAGCAATGGCATTGCCGTGAATACCATAGCATCAAACTAGACAAGTCCACAGGATCGGCTCGGTATTTCCACCATAGCGTAGTCAACGAATCTCAACCTGGCATTAGAAATGAATATATATTTTGACAAAATCTCTTTCATTTCAAACTCCCACTCACACAGAAATCATCATTGGTTCTCAAAGCACAAATTTTACTTTCTCATCTCCCCCAAAATGGTAGCACCCCCAAACCGTGACAGTCGAATATAGTGGCAACCTCGCTACCGTGACTCTTGACAACCAAGAGAAACTCAATGCCCTCAGCCAGGATGACTACTACAAACTAGCCTCCACACTGAGAGAAATTGCCCAGCATGACGAAGTCCTGGTCACGCTGTTAATCGGCAAAGGTCGCTTTTTCTCCGCGTACGTACATAACAAGCCCACCAGCTATCCAAAGAACCATCCATAGTCCATGACTAGCAAGGCATACATAGGATACTAATATATGGCCCAGACAGTGGCGCAGATATTACCCGACCACCACCCGACCTTGGTAAAATCGAACCCCGCCAGTACTGGCTCCGAGCCCTTGTGCCCAACAATATCGACCTAGCCGATGCCTTCTACACCCATCCCAAGATCCTAGTGACCGCGTTCAATGGTCCCGTGCTGGGCCTCTCCGCGGCAGTCATTGCGCATTCGGATTTTATCTTCGCAACGCCTAAGGCATACCTCCTTACCCCGTTTTCGTCGCTTGGGCTTGTCACTGAGGGCGGGGGCCAGTCTTGCCTTTGTGCGCCGTCTTGGTGTTAGCAAGGCTAAGGAGGCGTTGCTGTCGAGCCGGAGGATTCCGACTGAGGAGCTACAGCAAGTTGGATTCGTGAACCAGGTGTTAGATGCTGGTGGAGACGAAGAGAAATTTAGGGAGATGGTGTTGAGTGAGATTCGAAGTCGGTTTGGAGATCATTTGGTGGGTTCTAGTGTTTTGGAGATTAAGAGGTTGCTTCGTGAGCCTGGGGATCGGGAATTTAGTGTTCAGGCTGTGCAAGAGGTTTTTGCTGGGTTGCGCAAGTTTGTGGATGGTGTTCCTCAGGCGGAGTTTAAGAAGATTGCTACTGGGCAGAAGAGACATAAGCTTTAGGGACTTAGGGTCTAAGGTCTAGCTTGTTTATTTATGTTTGATGTATGGGACTAGGGGCTAGGGCTAGCGAGATAGTTAAAAGTACTGTTAGTGTGAAATGGATCATTCTGAGTGAGGCGGTTTCTTTCAGATGTAGCTCATTAATTGGGTAAAAGTAGGAGGTGCTCATTTCAATTTCTCTATGAACAGTAATTACTCATCTGTTGGTTCAGCCTCCTTGTAGTCCTTGCCTCATTCCAATGAACGCTTGCAATGATTGAAGGACATCTGCTGGGTCGGGGTATGCAGAACAAGCCTCTGATGTATTGTGTGCAGCGTACATAGGATTGCTTGCGCCTTTTCGCAGATGATTCTTGCTTCTGAGTGAATAGGGTGACGTTTCTCAGTGTCCCATAGATGTACGTTGTGTCGAAGGGAAACCTGGAGATATCTTGACGATGATCCGACTCTTGGGCAAAAGGAGATCTGGGTTTGCTCGTCTTGGTCGAGTATATCTTTTCCTTCGGCGTTCTCCCACTTGAGTCTCATGGCTTTGAGTCTCTAAATTAGTTAGCGCCTCATTAAGAAGCGAGTGAAATATTTCTCGCTGTATATGAGTCCGGCGCCTTCGCGGATTGAACGTGCTATTGGCCAGACGGTTGATATAAGCTCTAAAACCTGAAGGCAAGTTTCAATGTTCGCGCGCCATTGAAGGATTAAAGTGGGACTAGAAGAAAGATTTTGGCTTTTGGCAGCGCTTAGTACAGTTAGAACACTGTATATACTGTGAGAAGGTTAGGTCATATTCTTGGAAGGATATGTCATATGGACGGGGCCGTACACTGATGGTGGAACATAAGTTACCTGCCCATGGGATACTATAGCCTGCATGATAGAGGCAATTGTCGAGCCTGCCTGCAAAGCTACGGCGGATGAAGCCGTTGGGCGGGCTACTGCCGGGAGCAAGGCATGTAGTTGACATACCATCGTGCTGAACCTCTGGGTTAGCTTAGCTGGGAGAGAATAGGTCTCACACTTACTAGAAGATGGAGTGTAGAATTGCGGGCCAGAAGCTATGGCGCGATTGGGACCAGTGCATTTGTTCAGGGCATTGTATCATCCATTGACTAAGACGAATCTCCCATTGAGCGAATTCAGATTCTATGAGTGGTCCGGTTTTTCGCCGTCGGCCAATAACTAAATCCATCAGCTCACATAGTTTGACATACTGGATGAAGAACTGGACTCGAACCGAGTCAGGCTGATGCCCTTCGCCCTCGATAAAATCGTCCTGTGTGATGGGATCTACGTTGGTGAGATCCGCGTCTATGCTACTAGGCCTGCCATATGCGGCAGCCATAGCACGGTCTCTGGTGTAGAGAGTCCACCAGATCCGCCTCCAGAGCCGGCGCTCTGAGAGTGACATCTCTAGCTCATTACTGAAGTCAATGTTAACGATGATTTATAGTTTAAGGAGTGATGAAGGGAAAGAAAGGGTGCAAGAGAGAGAAAACAAAAAGAAAGAAGGAGCCTGTAAAAGGATATAGTGTAATATATGAACTGTGTATTCTAACCTTTTGTGCATCCCAAAGTTTTGTGCTACACCAATCGCCAACCTGCTCCAATAGAATAGCCCATTTTCTGTGGTATCTTGAGGCAATGTTAAGTTGGTACTATTTTTCGAGGAACCCGACAGACTCACCTTCTGTCCCTTGCCAATACCAGCTCATCAGCAGTAATGACTGTACCACTGTGATATGGTCCTTCTCAAACTCTGCATCATAAAGGGCCTTTGCCCTTTGAAGATATACCACTGAGCTATGAGCCGCGGACGATGAATGTCTCTCGCGACTCTTCTCCCCAACAACCCGCGATCCTGCGAGAAATATGGCTTGTAAAAGAAGAAGGAAAAGAGGATTCAGAGGGTCCTTATACATGGACAGGAAGACTCTCTGGTTGACGACAGGCAATACAGGGGCGACCCAGGCGAAGAAAGCGTCAATCAGCTCATCCTGTACATCCTGCGGGGGAATCTCTAGAGCTCCTTTAAGCTCGAGGATTGTCCGTTCTTCATCCTCCAGCAAGTTCAGATGAGTTTTATAAGCACCATATACGTCCATATTTAGAGTGGGTAGTGCTCTCTGGGTCTCAGCTTTTGCGCTTATCGGGGGGCGGTTAGGGTTTCTATTTTAAATGGGCTTATGTCAGCCTGTCATGTAACTAACGTATTTCACTAGCGGGATGGCCACACAAGCGGGATAGCCACCCCACGCATTTTGACCACGGTGGAAAACCTCACCCACTTCAACCACCAATCATGCCTCTAAAAGCGCGTCAAAATTCAAGAAATCTAGTTGAGCAAGAGGGAAGAATTCTGCTTGCTATATCTGCTTTAAAAAATCAAGAAATCAATAGTATTCGCGAAGCAATATATATTTTTAATATCTCTTACTCAACTTTACAAACCCGACTACACGGTATACCAATACATCTCGAAACACGCGTCAACAACCATAAGTTATCTCAAAATAAAGAGGAATTGTTTATACAATAGATTCTATCACTAGATTAATATAAAG